CCCTTTTGATAATTTATTGTACCAAAGGCGTTTTTTTTATAGAACATAGATGTCTGTAACCAATAATGTAGCAGTTCTGCACTTTGAAGCAAAGGTGTGTGTCATGTCAGTAAACGACTGTCAGAACTGGAAGTGATGTTTGATGTGGCGGAGAGCCCAATCCTGGACGCCATCGCTTACGAAATTCTGTCGCTCTGTTTTTCTTTCTCTTCATTTCCTCTTACCAGACGGCGGCGGCACGAGCTGCAAGCGTTTCCCGTCGGGGGTTTTGTGTTGATTCGGCTCTCACGGGACGGTGGACGCGGATGCTGCGAGCTGCTCGGCTGGTCCCAGAGCAGCTGGACAGTCGGAGATCCTCTCGAATCTCACGCAACGAAAGCAATCCGGCAGAGACCGGGAGGGAGACGGGCTGCTCTCGATCGCTCGCTCTCTCCGTCCGTCTGCGTGCGCGGTGGTGACGGGTGCGAGCGGGCGCACGGTTCTTTAGGGTTCCTGTGGTCACGGCATACAGAGGGAGTCCATGAAACAGGCTTCAGGTCTTTACTTTGTGACCCCATTTTAATAGCTGAAATAGAATTTATGTACATATTTATATTTTTTTAATAAAGGAAGTTTAGAACTCACTACTTTTTTCCTAATGGTATTTTGAGTACATTTACGTCAACTTGGTAACATGCAGTGGAATTTTTCTGTGGTAGTCAATGGGTATCAGTGCTTCCAGGCCAAAGTAGTTGACGACGATGACGACGCTAGTACAAATGCAAAACTCTAGGGTTGAAGCGGGACGGAGAGTAGATCTTCATACTTTAATCTTCTAGACAGGGTATCGTGTGTGGATGTGTGTCCCACTCAGAACGGCATCGGGCGGCGCTTCACATGTTCGTATACTCCAGCGCTGACGTAGTATACATAGTACAGAAAGTAATTTTCTGTTTAGTTGTTCTTACGGCACACGCCTTCAATAAATGGGTCCATTTGAAAGCAGAAATCGGCTGTGGCAAACGGGGAGTGTGTGTGTGTGTGTGTGTTCAGTGACTCTGTGTGTGTGAGTGTGAGTGTGAGTGAGTGTGTGTGTGTGTGTGAGAGAGTGTGTGAGTGTGTGTGTGTGTGTGTGTG